GAATCTGACAGAAGCTGAGAAACCTATCTGACAGAAGATCATGGCCATTGGGTTATCCATGGGTGTCCTCCACAAAATAGGTGGTCAAATCCCCCATTCAGTAGTATTTTACAAGGATAAGAACATTTCCTTTGGCCAATTTTCAGCCAGCATTACCAATGATCACCAATGTCTCTATCCAAAAATGAAAAATATGGGGTAAAGCCCATATATCTATAAATGTGTGTATATAATATATATATATATTATTGCAATGTGTATATATATATATATGCATATACTGTATATATATATACATATATTATATAAAAAAGTATATAGTGTATGTGTGTATACTATATATTATATGTAATTAAGTACATATATTATATTATATTATATTAAATTATATTATATATTATATTATATTACATTATATTTTATTATATATTATATTATACTATATTATATTATATTATATTGTATTATATTATATTATATTATATTATAGTATAAATATATATATATGGTACCCCCCCAAAAAAAAAAAACGACATTTTCAAGATTGTAACGCTTTTGGGATAGTTACCTTGTTCAGTTTGAGATCCAGTGGGGCAGTATCATACATATATATATATATATGCATATATATATATACATATGTATATTATTTGTTATCTTACTATTACTAAATCCATGTACTTAGAGTATTTTTTACAAGAAGTATTTGCAAACGCGTGCAAACGTTTGCAAACGTTCCTGATCAGGATTCAAGATTCAAGTCAAGATTCCCAGAAAAACTTCTTGAATCCAAGGGGATAGGATTCAAGATTCAAGATTCCCAGAAAAACTTCTTGAATCCCAGGATTCAAGATTCAAGATTCCCAGAAAGAATTCTTGAATCCAAGGGGATAGGATTCAAGATTCAAGATTGCCAGAAAAACTTCTTGAATCCCAGGATTCAAGGAAAGAATTCTTGAATCCAAGGGGATAGGATTCAAGATTCAAGATTCAAGATTCCCTGAAAAACTTCTTGAATCCCAGGATTCAAGATTCAAGATTCCCAGAAAGAATTCTTGAATCCAAGGGGATAGGTCTTGAATCTTGAATCCTGGGATTCAAGAAGTTTTTCTGGGAATCTTGAATCTTGAATCCTGGGATTCAAGAATTCTTTCTGGGAATCTTGAATCTTGAATCCTATCCCCTTGGATTCAAGAAGTTTTTCTGGGAATCCTGAATCTTGAATCTTGAATCCTGCCCCCTTGGATTCAAGAATTCTTTCTGGGAATCTTGAATCTTGAATCCTGGGATTCAAGAATTCTTTCTGGGAATCTTGAATCCTATCCCCTTGGATTCAAGAATTCTTTCTGGGAATCTTGAATCTTGAATCTTTCTAAGTACTTGGGTCCCTGGGCTCGTTTGCAAACGTTTGCAAACGCTTTTGGTGACAAAATTACTCTAAGTACCTGGGTTCAACAGTAAGACAACAATTAATATATACGTATATATACATATATATTGTACATGAGTTAAATAATGAGTTTGAAGTGGAATTTCATCAGGTAATGGCATTTGTTGAAACAGTTTATCTGCAATTACAATATTACAACTCAAAGCACATTGACAAATAATCACTTGCAGATGTTGATTCTCTTGTCCATATATCAAAATATTGTTATATGAAAAATATCTTTACATATATTGTTAAATAGTTGAGTTACTAAACTGTCTGCAAGGTTATATGGTTTATATTTTATTAGGTAAGATATAAACTCAATTTCATCTTGTAATGTTTGTTTTAAGACATTCATATATATATATTTTTGCATCATTAATATCAATTGTTTTTGGTAAAGAGATTTGTGAATTCTTGAGTAATTCATGTGCTATCATTCCATAAAAAGGTGCACAGTATTTTGAAGCCCTTTATAATATTTTTGACAGTGCATGATATTTTAGATGTTGCATATTTTGCATGCAAATATACATAAAATAGGAATGTCTACTTATTTGATTTGGTGATGTAGCAATCGCATCTATATAAGAAAAATGCTTTAGTGCAATATTATATTCTTTTAATTTTACAAGTGCTATAAATCCTGCCAAGTTATGTATTTTTATATATTGTCAATATATGTTATATTTTTGCTAGCTTGATTAAGTAATTTGTAGGCAAGAGTGTATTTTTTAAATACTAATCGTTCCCTTGCATAGCATATTCTTAAGTTAGTACAATTTTCTATATATATATATTGTCTCTTGAAAAGATGGGTTTAATATAGGAGCTAAATTTTGTTCTATTCTATATGGGTTTAGACGTATATAGATCTTTAAATAATCAAAAATTAATCCTTAATTATATTGATGCTTATTATAATGTTATGATACATGTTTGTGCTTTGAGTATGATTTTGCTTTATTAAAATGCGACATTGCACTATCCTTTTATCCATATCTTTTAAACAACTGAAGAAATAAGAACTATTAAAATTTAATTGGTTTTGTAGTAATAGATTGTCGAGTTTAATTAAGGGATTTTTATAAGATATATATCTAGATATATATTTTCTTGCTAGCGTTTAAAGCAGTTTTGCCAATCATTGTTAATCCAACTATTTATAGCAAGAGCTTTATTTATTTTTATTTTTTGGTAGATTGTAAAAATTGTGTGTATGTAATTAAAACAATAAGCAAGCAGAAAAAAAAAAAATACAAACATAGCATGTTTTAGATATTTTGGCACAATTTGAATCACCAGTTTTTTTTCCATCTGTTTCTAGTTCTTCTTCAGAGAATATGGATATATTTATTAGTGGCTCAAAAAATGAAATAACTATGGTGGAAGGATGTGGAATGGAATTTCCAGAAGACAGATTATTAAATATCTTAGATGAGGCTTTAAAGCTTTTTACTCCAGTTCTAAACTTGATATTAGATATGAAATCTAAAATATCAACAATAGAGTTTATTTCCAATATTCCTCTAGATTCTCATGTTGCTCAACGTAATTGTCAGAAGAAATCGAAAAAATCCTCCAGTATACTTATTTTAAAAAGCACGCTATTTACTCAGTCTTCAAAACAAGAAAGAGAAAAACGTCGGTTTTGGGGGGGGGCTAGCATATATATATATATATTCCCAGGAAATCCCAGGATATTCATATTTGAAACGGGGTCTTCCGGTCTTCCCTCCATATTTTCCACCTCCTTGGCGAACTGACGCTCCTGCTCCAATTCCTCGGCGAAGTCAGGGAGGCCATGGGAAATTTGGAGTCAAAAAATGAGATCCTGAATCAATTAATTTGGTGGTAGTTCAGGGAATACCACTTTTTTTTGCATTTTTGAAACGCCGGGGATGGGTCAAAACAGTGGATAGCATAGCCAAGAAATCGGATGGTTTCGGCAATAAACAAATCAGGCAAAACAGCATCACAACCAGAAATTGAATCCCTGGAATCTGATCTTTGCGACCCACCCCTCCCCACTTCGGAACTTTTCTAGTTATATAAATGGTTTCATATATACTTTCTGTGCAAACGTCTCCTTTGTGAAGCTCAGCACTGTTCAGTATACCAAAAGGTGATTTTGTGCGATGCTTAAACCCAAAACGGGACATGTAAAATCTCTGCAATGGTCTTGGAACATCTTGGAACCTGTTATCATTGAAACAGGGTGCGGCGATTTGGCCACGGATTGGTGTCAACTCATGGCTCGAATATTGTGCTCCCCATGTTTGGTGCTTAAACCATCTTAAACCCCCTTTAAGTCTTTGTGACAGCACCAAACATGGACCCCAAATGGGTTGGTGTCTTCAAGGCCCAATTCAGGCCACTGACAATTACTTCTTGCATACTTCATGGACATTGATATCTTGTGATATCTACTATGAGTCATCTTAAAATCTCTAGATATTTATCAAGGATGTCCACCTTGGCTGCTTTCCAAAAAACGGATCCCAGTTTTACTGAGAAATTGAAATCTTAATGTTTATCATGGTAGTTGTATACTAATTGCATATAATTTGCATATGCAAACAAAAACACCTGGTGATTTTGTGGGGCCTTTCCACGCCCGAGCGCCTTTCGCTTCGCGGCCTCTTCGGCGCTCGCAGCTGTCTTCGGCGAAATCCCAGGGTCTTTCCCGGTGGAACCAATGGGAAAACGATTCACCAATGGATTCACCAGCAAATGATGGATGAACTGGAAAGCCCAAAATCACCATCAAATCATCCATCATTTTAAGGGTTTAAAAAATAGATCAATAGATCAAATCACCATCAATAGATCAAATCTAAGGGTTCAAAAAGGCCCCCTTTTTTGACACCCCCACTCATCTACCTTCCAATGCAATTGCATCAAGAACTGTAATGCTCCATGAACAAGGTGCCTTCACTATTGTAAACTATGGATATCTATAGAATGGAGTCATTTCTTAGCAATCAACTGAAACAATCTGCACCTTGACCTGTCCCATCCCCCATCCCCCATCCTGTCCCCCCATCCCAGTGGTTCCTCTGCCGTTTTGCACTGGTTTTCAACTTCGGTCATCTTCACACTAGTGGATTGTGCCTGTCGGAACTCATTCTCCATGGCATGCTTCCAATCTGGTGCGTCTTGCCCCATTGGTTCATTGATCCATACCCTATACCCTTATACCATCCCTACTTGTGTGTCTCAGTATCCTGTCTAATGGTTATTGTAGTAACAGTATGTAATGGTAAACCCCGTATTAACCCCCAATAATCAACCGGGGCTGTTTGGCTCAATCTTTAGCACCCCCCACGTCTGGCCGCCTGGGCTTTCAGCTCAGTGCACTCACTGGCCGCCTGGCTAGACGATGGGAAAATACATCTGCGTAGGAATCTCAATATCTGTAGTAATATGGGTTTATGCATAAAAAGGAAACCAAACCAATGAGTACTGATGGGCATTAGTCGATATTAGTGGAAATTAATGGATATCAATAGGCACTAATGGATATTAATTGATATTAATGGATATTAATGGATATTCATATATAATGTGTACATACATAAATCCCATTTGTTGGCGTAAAGTGCCTTAATGCAAACAAAATGTGAAATGTATGGATTATTGTCATTCCTAAATGTATATCTGCAACAACAAGGACTTCTGCCATGGCCCAGCAGCAAGCTCCAACATTCTCCCATCTTTGTAGCGAATCTGAAAACTTGGGCATGTCCCCGTTGTATGGCATTCGTGGGGAATATGTTGAGCACGCAAAAAATGTGACTAACCATAAGATGTGGGATGGTTAATAGGGTTTGCCCACCTGAAGAATCTGACAGAAGCTGAGAAACCTATCTGACAGAAGATCATGGCCATTGGGTTATCCATGGGTGTCCTCCACAAAATAGGTGGTCAAATCCCCCATTCAGTAGGATTTTACAAGGATAAGAACATTTCTTTTGGCCAATTTTCAGCCAGCATTACCAATGATCACCAATGTCTCTATCCAAAAATGAAAAATATGGGGTAAAGCCCATATATCTATAAATGTGTGTATAATATATATATATATATACATATATATTGCAATGTGTATATATATATATGCATATACTGTATATATATATATGCATATACTGTATATATATATATATATGCATATACTGTATATATATTATATAAAAAAGTATATAGTGTATGTGTGTATATTATATATTATATGTAATTACATATATTATATTATATTATGTTTTATATATATATATATTCCCAGGAAATCCCAGGATATTCATATTTGAAACGGGGTCTTCCGGTCTTCCCTCCATATTTTCCACCTCCTTGGCGAACTGACGCTCCTGCTCCAATTCCTCGGCGAAGTCAGGGAGGCCATGGGAAATTTGGAGTCAAAAAATGAGATCCTGAATCAATTAATTTGGTGGTAGTTCAGGGAATACCACTTTTTTTTGCATTTTTGAAACGCCGGGGATGGGTCAAAACAGTGGATAGCATAGCCAAGAAATCGGATGGTTTCGGCAATAAACAAATGAGGCAAAACAGCATCACAACCAGAAATTGAATCCCTGGAATCTGATCTTTGCGACCCACCCCTCCCCACTTCGGAACTTTTCTAGTTATATAAATGGTTTCATATATACTTTCTGTGCAAACGTCTCCTTTGTGAAGCTCAGCACTGTTCAGTATACCAAAAGGTGATTTTGTGCGATGCTTAAACCCAAAACGGGACATGTAAAATCTCTGCAATGGTCTTGGAACCTGCTATCATTGAAACAGGGTGCGGCGATTTGGCCACGGATTGGTGTCAACTCATGGCTCGAATATTGTGCTCCCCATGTTTGGTGCTTAAACCATCTTAAACCCCCTTTAAGTCTTTGTGACAGCACCAAACATGGACCCCAAATGGGTTGGTGTCTTCAAGGCCCAGGCCGCTGACAATACTTCTTGCATATCTTAATGACATGATATCTTGTGATATCTACTAGAGTCATCTATAAAATCTCTATATATTTATCAATGGATGTCCACCCTTGGCTGCTTTCCAAAAAACGGCTCCCAGTTTTACTGATGAAATCTTAATGTTTATCATGGTCATGTTGTATACTAATTGCCATATGCAACAAAACCACCTGGTATTTTTGTGGGGCTTCACTTCCCCGGCCTCGAGCGCCTTTCGCTTCGCGGCCTCTTCGGCGCTCGCAGCTGTCTTCGGCGAAATCCCAGGGTCTTTCCCGGTGGAACCAATGGGAAAACGATTCACCAATGGATTCACCAGCAAATGATGGATGAACTGGAAAACCCAAAATCACCATCAAATCATCCATCATTTTAAGGGTTTAAAAAATAGATCAATAGATCAAATCACCATCAATAGATCAAATCTAAGGGTTTAAAAAGGCCCCCTTTTTTGACACCCCCACTCATCTACCTTCCAATGCAATTGCATCAAGAACTGTCATGCTCCATGAACAAGGTGCCTTCACTATTGTAAACTATGGATATCTATAGAATGGAGTCATTTCTTAGCAATCAACTGAAACAATCTGCACCTTGACCTGTCCCATCCCCCATCCCCCATCCTGTCCCCCCATCCCAGTGGTTCCTCTGCCGTTTTGCACTGGTTTTCAACTTCGGTCATCTTCACACTAGTGGATTGTGCCTGTCGGAACTCATTCTCCATGGGATGCTTCCAATCTGGTGCGTCTTGCCCCATTGGTTCATTGATCCATACCCTATACCCTTATACCATCCCTACTTGTGTGTCTCAGTATCCTGTCTAATGGTTATTGTAGTAACAGTATGTAATGGTAAACCCCGTATTAACCCCCAATAATCAACCGGGGCTGTTTGGCTCAATCTTTAGCACCCCCCACGTCTGGCCGCCTGGGCTTTCAGCTCAGTGCACTCACTGGCCGCCTGGCTAGACGATGGGAAAATACATCTGCGTAGGAATCTCAATATCTGTAGTAATATGGGTATATGCATAAAAAGGAAACCAAACCAATGAGTACTGATGGGCATTAGTCGATATTAGTGGAAATTAATGGATATCAATAGGCACTAATGGATATTAATTGATATTAATGGATATTAATGGATATTCATATATAATGTGTACATACATAAATCCCATTTGTTGGCGTAAAGTGCCTTAATGCAAACAAAATGTGAAATGTATGGATTATTGTCATTCCTAAATGTATATCTGCAACAACAAGGACTTCTGCCATGGCCCAGCAGCAAGCTCCAACATTCTCCCATCTTTGTAGCGAATCTGAAAACTTGGACATGTCCCCGTTGTATGGCATTCGTGGGGAATATGTTGAGCACGCAAAAAATATGACTAACCATAAGATGTGGGATGGTTAATAGGGTTTGCCCACCTGACAGAATCTGACAGAAGCTGAGAAACCTATCTGACAGAAGATCATGGCCATTGGGTTATCCATGGGTGTCCTCCACAAAATAGGTGGTCAAATCCCCCATTCAGTAGGATTTTACAAGGATAAGAACATTTCTTTTGGCCAATTTTCAGCCAGCATTACCAATGATCACCAATGTCTCTATCCAAAAATGAAAAATATGGGGTAAAGCCCATATATCTATAAATGTGTGTATAATATATATATATATATACATATATATTGCAATGTGTATATATATATATGCATATACTGTATATATATATATGCATATACTGTATATATATATATATATGCATATACTGTATATATATTATATAAAAAAGTATATAGTGTATGTGTGTATATTATATATTATATGTAATTACATATATTATATTATATTATGTTTTATATATATATATATTCCCAGGAAATCCCAGGATATTCATATTTGAAACGGGGTCTTCCGGTCTTCCCTCCATATTTTCCACCTCCTTGGCGAACTGACGCTCCTGCTCCAATTCCTCGGCGAAGTCAGGGAGGCCATGGGAAATTTGGAGTCAAAAAATGAGATCCTGAATCAATTAATTTGGTGGTAGTTCAGGGAATACCACTTTTTTTTGCATTTTTGAAACGCCGGGGATGGGTCAAAACAGTGGATAGCATAGCCAAGAAATCGGATGGTTTCGGCAATAAACAAATGAGGCAAAACAGCATCACAACCAGAAATTGAATCCCTGGAATCTGATCTTTGCGACCCACCCCTCCCCACTTCGGAACTTTTCTAGTTATATAAATGGTTTCATATATACTTTCTGTGCAAACGTCTCCTTTGTGAAGCTCAGCACTGTTCAGTATACCAAAAGGTGATTTTGTGCGATGCTTAAACCCAAAACGGGACATGTAAAATCTCTGCAATGGTCTTGGAACCTGCTATCATTGAAACAGGGTGCGGCGATTTGGCCACGGATTGGTGTCAACTCATGGCTCGAATATTGTGCTCCCCATGTTTGGTGCTTAAACCATCTTAAACCCCCTTTAAGTCTTTGTGACAGCACCAAACATGGACCCCAAATGGGTTGGTGTCTTCAAGGCCCAGGCCGCTGACAATACTTCTTGCATATCTTAATGACATGATATCTTGTGATATCTACTAGAGTCATCTATAAAATCTCTATATATTTATCAATGGATGTCCACCCTTGGCTGCTTTCCAAAAAACGGCTCCCAGTTTTACTGATGAAATCTTAATGTTTATCATGGTCATGTTGTATACTAATTGCCATATGCAACAAAACCACCTGGTATTTTTGTGGGGCTTCACTTCCCCGGCCTCGAGCGCCTTTCGCTTCGCGGCCTCTTCGGCGCTCGCAGCTGTCTTCGGCGAAATCCCAGGGTCTTTCCCGGTGGAACCAATGGGAAAACGATTCACCAATGGATTCACCAGCAAATGATGGATGAACTGGAAAACCCAAAATCACCATCAAATCATCCATCATTTTAAGGGTTTAAAAAATAGATCAATAGATCAAATCACCATCAATAGATCAAATCTAAGGGTTTAAAAAGGCCCCCTTTTTTGACACCCCCACTCATCTACCTTCCAATGCAATTGCATCAAGAACTGTCATGCTCCATGAACAAGGTGCCTTCACTATTGTAAACTATGGATATCTATAGAATGGAGTCATTTCTTAGCAATCAACTGAAACAATCTGCACCTTGACCTGTCCCATCCCCCATCCCCCATCCTGTCCCCCCATCCCAGTGGTTCCTCTGCCGTTTTGCACTGGTTTTCAACTTCGGTCATCTTCACACTAGTGGATTGTGCCTGTCGGAACTCATTCTCCATGGCATGCTTCCAATCTGGTGCGTCTTGCCCCATTGGTTCATTGATCCATACCCTATACCCTTATACCATCCCTACTTGTGTGTCTCAGTATCCTGTCTAATGGTTATTGTAGTAACAGTATGTAATGGTAAACCCCGTATTAACCCCCAATAATCAACCGGGGCTGTTTGGCTCAATCTTTAGCACCCCCCACGTCTGGCCGCCTGGGCTTTCAGCTCAGTGCACTCACTGGCCGCCTGGCTAGACGATGGGAAAATACATCTGCGTAGGAATCTCAATATCTGTAGTAATATGGGTATGCATAAAAAGGAAACCAAACCAATGAGTACTGATGGGCATTAGTCGATATTAGTGGAAATTAATGGATATCAATAGGCACTAATGGATATTAATTGATATTAATGGATATTAATGGATATTCATATATAATGTGTACATACATAAATCCCATTTGTTGGCGTAAAGTGCCTTAATGCAAACAAAATGTGAAATGTATGGATTATTGTCATTCCTAAATGTATATCTGCAACAACAAGGACTTCTGCCATGGCCCAGCAGCAAGCTCCAACATTCTCCCATCTTTGTAGCGAATCTGAAAACTTGGGCATGTCCCCGTTGTATGGCATTCGTGGGGAATATGTTGAGCACGCAAAAAATGTGACTAACCATAAGATGTGGGATGGTTAATAGGGTTTGCCCACCTGACAGAATCTGACAGAAGCTGAGAAACCTATCTGACAGAAGATCATGGCCATTGGGTTATCCATGGGTGTCCTCCACAAAATAGGTGGTCAAATCCCCCATTCAGTAGGATTTTACAAGGATAAGAACATTTCTTTTGGCCAATTTTCAGCCAGCATTACCAATGATCACCAATGTCTCTATCCAAAAATGAAAAATATGGGGTAAAGCCCATATATCTATAAATGTGTGTATAATATATATATATATATATATATATTGCATATATGTGCATATATATATATATATATATATGCATATACTGTATATATATTATATAAAAAAGTATATAGTGTATGTGTGTATATTATATATTATATGTAATTACATATATTATATTATATTATGTTTATATATATATATATTCCCAGGAAATCCCAGGATATTCATATTTGAAACGGGGTCTTCCGGTCTTCCCTCCATATTTTCCACCTCCTTGGCGAACTGACGCTCCTGCTCCAATTCCTCGGCGAAGTCAGGGAGGCCATGGGAAATTTGGAGTCAAAAAATGAGATCCTGAATCAATTAATTTGGTGGTAGTTCAGGGAATACCACTTTTTTTTGCATTTTTGAAACGCCGGGGATGGGTCAAAACAGTGGATAGCATAGCCAAGAAATCGGATGGTTTCGGCAATAAACAAATGAGGCAAAACAGCATCACAACCAGAAATTGAATCCCTGGAATCTGATCTTTGCGACCCACCCCTCCCCACTTCGGAACTTTTCTAGTTATATAAATGGTTTCATATATACTTTCTGTGCAAACGTCTCCTTTGTGAAGCTCAGCACTGTTCAGTATACCAAAAGGTGATTTTGTGCGATACTTAACCCCAAAACGGGACATGTAAAATCTCTGCAATGGTCTTGGAACCTGCTATCATTGAAACAGGGTGCGGCGATTTGGCCACGGATTGGTGTCAACTCATGGCTCGAATATTGTGCTCCCCATGTTTGGTGCTTAAACCATCTTAAACCCCCTTTAAGTCTTTGTGACAGCACCAAACATGGACCCCAAATGGGTTGGTGTCTTCAAGGCCCAGGCCGCTGACAATACTTCTTGCATATCTTAATGACATGATATCTTGTGATATCTACTAGAGTCATCTATAAAATCTCTATATATTTATCAATGGATGTCCACCCTTGGCTGCTTTCCAAAAAACGGCTCCCAGTTTTACTGATGAAATCTTAATGTTTATCATGGTCATGTTGTATACTAATTGCCATATGCAACAAAACCACCTGGTATTTTTGTGGGGCTTCCCCGGCCTCGAGCGCCTTTCGCTTCGCGGCCTCTTCGGCGCTCGCAGCTGTCTTCGGCGAAATCCCAGGGTCTTTCCCGGTGGAACCAATGGGAAAACGATTCACCAATGGATTCACCAGCAAATGATGGATGAACTGGAAAGCCCAAAATCACCATCAAATCATCCATCATTTTAAGGGTTTAAAAAATAGATCAATAGATCAAATCACCATCAATAGATCAAATCTAAGGGTTCAAAAAGGCCCCCTTTTTTGACACCCCCACTCATCTACCTTCCAATGCAATTGCATCAAGAACTGTCATGCTCCATGAACAAGGTGCCTTCACTATTGTAAACTATGGATATCTATAGAATGGAGTCATTTCTTAGCAATCAACTGAAACAATCTGCACCTTGACCTGTCCCATCCCCCATCCCCCATCCTGTCCCCCCATCCCAGTGGTTCCTCTGCCGTTTTGCACTGGTTTTCAACTTCGGTCATCTTCACACTAGTGGATTGTGCCTGTCGGAACTCATTCTCCATGGGATGCTTCCAATCTGGTGCGTCTTGCCCCATTGGTTCATTGATCCATACCCTATACCCTTATACCATCCCTACTTGTGTGTCTTTTGCAGTATCTTGTAGTATGTAACAGTATGTAATGGTATATAAACCCCGTCTTAACCCCCTGGAATCAACCGGGGCTGTTTAATGGCTCAATCTTGAGCACCCTTCGTCTTTGCCTGGGCTTTCAGCTCAGTGCACTCACTGGCCGCCTGGCTAGATGATGGGAAAATAAATCTGCGTAGGAATCTCAATATCTATAGTAATATGGGTATATGCATAAAAAGGAAACCAAACCAATGAGTACCGATGGGCATTAGGCGATATTAGTGGAAATTAATGGATATCAATAGGCACTAATGGATATTAATTGATATTAATGGATATTAATTGATATTCATATATAATGTGTACATACATAAATCCCATTTGTTGGCGTAAAGTGCCTTAATGCAAACAAAATGTGAAATGTATGGATTATTGTCATTCCTAAATGTATATCTGCAACAACAAGGACTTCTGCCATGGCCCAGCAGCAAGCTCCAACATTCTCCCATCTTTGCAGCGAATCTGAAAACTTGGACATGTCCCCGTTGTATGGCATTCGTGGGGAATATGTTGAGCACGCAAAAAATATGACTAACCATAAGATGTGGGATGGTTAATAGGGTTTGCCCACCTGAAAGAATCTGACAGAAGCTGAGAAACCTATCTGACAGAAGATCATGGCCATTGGGTTATCCATGGGTGTCCTCCACAAAATAGGTGGTCAAATCCCCCATTCAGTAGGATTTTACAAGGATAAGAACATTTCCTTTGGCCAATTTTCAGCCAGCATTACCAATGATCACCAATGTCTCTATCCAAAAATGAAAAATATGGGGTAAAGCCCATATATCTATAAATGTGTGTATATATAATATGTATATATATATATTGCAATGTGTATATATATATATATATGCATATACTGTATATATATTATATAAAAAAAGTATATAGTGTATGTGTGTATATTATATTATATTATATTATATTATATTATATATATATTATATTATATTATATTATATTATATTATATATTATATTATATTATATATTATATTATATTATATATTATATTATATTATATTATATATTATATTATATTATATTATATTAAAGTATATTAAAGTATATTATATTATATTATATTATATTATGTTTATATATATATATATTCCCAGGAAATCCCAGGATATTCATATTTGAAACGGGGTCTTCCGGTCTTCCCTCCATATTTTCCACCTCCTTGGCGAACTGACGCTCCTGCTCCAATTCCTCGGCGAAGTCAGGGAGGCCATGGGAAATTTGGAGTCAAAAAATGAGATCCTGAATCAATTAATTTGGTGGTAGTTCAGGGAATACCACTTTTTTTTGCATTTTTGAAACGCCGGGGATGGGTCAAAACAGTGGATAGCATAGCCAAGAAATCGGATGGTTTCGGCAATAAACAAATGAGGCAAAACAGCATCACAACCAGAAATTGAATCCCTGGAATCTGATCTTTGCGACCCACCCCTCCCCACTTCGGAACTTTTCTAGTTATATAAATGGTTTCATATATACTTTCTGTGCAAACGTCTCCTTTGTGAAGCTCAGCACTGTTCAGTATACCAAAAGGTGATTTTGTGCGATGCTTAAACCCAAAACGGGACATGTAAAATCTCTGCAATGGTCTTGGAACATCTTGGAACCTGTTATCATTGAAACAGGGTGCGGCGATTTGGCCACGGATTGGTGTCAACTCATGGCTCGAATATTGTGCTCCCCATGTTTGGTGCTTAAACCATCTTAAACCCCCTTTAAGTCTTTGTGACAGCACCAAACATGGACCCCAAATGGGTTGGTGTCTTCAAGGCCCAATCAGGCCGCTGACAATACTTCTTGCATATCTTCATGACATGATATCTTGTGATATCTACTAGAGTCATCTATAAAATCTCTATATATTTATCAATGGATGTCCACCCTTGGCTGCTTTCCAAAAAACGGCTCCCAGTTTTACTGATGAAATCTTAATGTTTATCATGGTCATGTTGTATACTAATTGCCATATGCAACAAAACCACCTGGTATTTTTGTGGGGCTTCCCCGGCCTCGAGCGCCTTTCGCTTCGCGGCCTCTTCGGCGCTCGCAGCTGTCTTCGGCGAAATCCCAGGGTCTTTCCCGGTGGAACCAATGGGAAAACGATTCACCAATGGATTAACCAGCAAATGATGGATGAACTGGAAAACCCAAAATCACCATCAAATCATCCATCATTTTTAAGGGTTTAAAAAATAGATCAATAGATCAAATCACCATCGATCAAATCTAAGGGTTTAAAAAGGCCCCCTTTTTTGACACCCCCACGGGTGTTTCTTGCAGCTGCACCTCCAACTCACCACCGTCGGCGTTTTGGTTGGAGCTGCTCAGCTTGCCAAGGTCAACCTATTTGGGCAGCTGACCGCGGCTGGGAAGATACCAGCTGGATATTGTGTGTTTTAAAGAAAACAAAGAAAATGGAGACAGCTGGAAGTTGATTGAGGCCATAAGTTATAAGTACCACTTGGGATAGATACTGTGGTAAATTGTTCTAAATACATCTAGATACAATACACCCCGCCGTCACCAGCAAAACTCATCTAGTGAGGTGATAGAAGTTGTAGCAGGGCACTCCCACCTGCAGGGTTTCACATTCCTTCAGGGCCTGAGGTGCCACCATTGAAGTAAAAACCTCTGGAAATGACCAAGTGAATGTATTTTTGCTGCCCCAGTTTTCCAACCACATGGCTTTATGGTTCTTTATGGTTCTTTGACCCAAGGATGCAACACTTATATAATTTCATTCTGGCCCATGGGTCAAGATTTGGGACCAAAACCCAAGATGTTTGACCATGTTCAATACTCATCTGAAAAAAAAAACTCAATGTGTGTTGCTTCGCCACATCACCATGATGGGCTCTCCCCACCGTGACTTCGTGACTTCGTGACTTGGCCGCCGACGTCCTCTGCTTTCTGCCGTTCCAGCTCCACCTCCCCAAAGATCGGGAATCCCCATTGTATAACCCAACCAGTGTCCCACCCAGCTGGCCAAATCCCCTTCCAAGTTGGATTTCCGGCGGGTTTCTCTGAAAATGGTGTATCCTAAAATTTCATAGTTGATCATCATGTCATTATCAAAAGGACAAGTTTTGGGTATCCCCCATTTTTGGTGCTTACTAACCACCATCAGCCCGTACTAGAGCGCGGTTAAGCCTTATTGTTTGGGGGCGGTATATTTCCGGGTTCCGGGTTCTCTTTTCCATGAAACTCGGGGAATCCCCAGTGTTGCCTTACAAAAAATGTCATAAATTGGTGGTGAACCCCCACTTTTTGGACGGAGTCAGCTGGAGGCTGCCTGCAACTGCACTTTTTCCTGCAGTGCTTCCGCTCCCGCGCTGTCCTTGGACATGGCCTGCACGTTTCAACACATTCGCGGCTAAAAAAATGTGGAAATTCAACGCGCAGATTGTAGGGTGTGTGAGGGTATCTCTGCAAAATATCAAAAGATGCATTTTCAAACCCATGAGTTTTTCAAGATCGCCGTTTCCGCACTGGTTCTTGAAACCGGGAACCCATCAGTTCAGCATGTCCAGGCTGTTTTCCCACCTGCTTCTTCCAGGCTTCAGCCTCTGAGACGGCCTCAGAACTGCCAAAACACGATGGGTCGTGGGTTGAACGTCCGAAAATCAAAGAACACAGGCGAATGTATGTTTTAAAAAATACGTGTACAAGAATTTCACAACAAAAATTAACTTGATAGGTGCGTTCTTGGTAAGAACGTAAGTATGCAAGACTTGCTACTATGATAAAAAGCAAGACGAGGATGAACCAACAATCCTTGTAAAGCTGGGTTTGGCTGAAATGCATTCTGATCATTTTGATCATGCTGTGCGCTGAATAGTTGGAAACCGGTCCCGACCGCAGAACCGATGACGCACCCAGGCTTCCCGACTGGTGTGGGAACAGTTGTGCTCGGGCTCGTTCCAATAGGATCCTGGTAGTGCTGAGCCGTGCAGCAATTCATGCATCAACTCATCATAAAGTAGGTGCATCATAGATACACCATAGATGCAGAGTTGGTGTGATGACTAATTAGGCTGTCATCAGCAGTTGGCAACAAAACGTAACAAACATTAACAAAATAAGTTCGCAAGGGTAGTCTTGCTTGAACCCATGGAGATTCCACACAATATTCATATCCAAATTGTATGTATTATGATGTATATAATAATATAATATAATACAATATAATATAATATAATATAATACAATATAATAAAATATAATATAATACAATATAATAAAATATAATAAAATGAAATAATATAATATAATATAATAGAATAGAATAGAATAGAATACAATATATATATATACTAATATAATACATAATAATATAATATATATATATATATTAATACATATCGCTATTACATGTATATATATATACTAAATATATACTGTATATAATAGTACCGGAAGCGGGAACCACTGAGCTGTGCCACATGCACGAAGGCGATTGGTCATCCGCAAGAAGCAGATGCCCAAAAGCTCTTGTGGAGCTAAGGATCCGACGCTGATGGAATAAGCCAGGGAAGAACCCTCAACCTGCGAGGCAAGGCACATAGCATGAGTGTCTTTGTCATGGAAGTGGGGAAGTGTCAAGCAGCCTTGTGACACGCTGCTATGCTTTCCTCCTTTTTTATGCACTATGCACCGGCACGCGTGCCAACCATTGCGCTTTGCGCCTGGCATTGTGCTCTGCACAGGCTTTCCTACGCTTCATAGCCGTCTTCCCAGGTCGCAGCTTTGCGGCTTTCTCCCTTATACGAGGATCATCCCAAAGCACACGAGCTGCTGAAACCTCTGCTGCTATTTTGGTACGCTCCCCTTCTCCTTTGTAGTGCAATTTTTTCAGACGGGCAGCTGCTCGAGCTTTGTCAGTGAGTTGCAGCGTGGAATGGTAGAGGCCCTCCTCATCCCTCACTGTATGATAGATCCCAAAGGGAGGATCTTTAGGGTCAGAACGTTGCAACCGCCTGCAAGCGTTGGGGCTCACAGATTTCCAATAGGCTTCAGATACATGTTCAGATCTTCAATACTATGATTTGGTGATGTGACCAGTGTCTTGTGACGTCTTGCAACTAAGCCACCTGAAGAAATCGACCGTCGCCCCTTTCCAATTCCCATCATACTTGCTCACGTCAAAACCCCACAGCCGCCCACGTAGTGGAGATGGCCTGGACCTTTGAGCACCACTGGAAGACCTTGGTCAGTAGAAACATGTTCCCCGCAACCCCTGCGTCGCCCACACTCAAACAACACATCCGAACAATATGATATACTTATCACCAGAGGATAAATGAAAACACTGGCTATACGCAGTGATTTTGACTTTAGGTTTTCAGGATTTAGGGTTTTAATTTAGGATTTAGGGTTTTAGGGTTTTGGTGTTTGTTGTTTTGGAAAGTAAAAACCTTGAGCCCTGCGCAGGGATTTGAGCATGTCAAAAGATATGCGGGATTGGGCGCGGGCAAACGTAGGGGTTGCAGCGAATATGTTTCGACAGAATGCTGAAAATTCCAATAAAAAACTGAAAGGACCTAATTGTACAGTTCAAAGAGTTTTTGAAAAAAACAAAACATAGAAACGACAAGGAGAGGTGACAGAATGAGGCTAGGGAGACATGTCTCGAAGTTCTAAAATGAGAAAAGCCAAAAACAGCTGATACTGCGGTGCGAGTCAGGAACGCTTTCTGCTTGGCCCTCGGGGAGCGACTTCTCGAAAAAGACGAAGAATTCCTGGCTTTGCGACTCCTCGAAGAAGACGATGAAGCCCTGGCTTTTCGACTCCTCGAAGAAGCGGAAGAAGACCTGGCTTTCCTTGACGACGCCGAAGAAGTCCTGGCTTCTCGGCTCTGCTTCTGTGGCTCAGGGCGTTTTTCTGGCCGTGCAAGTTCTTTCTGATGGTGAGCTTGCGGTCGAGGCAACTTACGCATCTTCTTTGGAGTCATGTCAGGCGGTTTTCTCGTTCGGTCAACCGACTCAGATCTTGCTCTCGGAGAGAGGGACTGAGGAGCTGCATCTCTGGAACCCCACTTCTTGTGTCCTACTTGTCCTACTCCTACTGGTCCTACATTTGGAAGCCCATCATGGTTGCTAACCTTCAATGCAACTCTCCCCCTGGCAGCATCTCTGGAGACCATGGCTTCTCCAACCCGCAGCAGCAGTTGATGAATCGGTCACAAAATTATTAGTGCCACATGTAATTAACAAGTTGTCAAGTTGTCCTGATGCAAGATTCAACTCCATTGAATGAAATTGCAGATCTGACCTTTCTGTTTTCTATGTTCCTACTTCAAGCTGCAGCCTGGTCACAATCAGGAGCCAGCGAAAGCAGCAAAACAGAGAAGTTTTTAGAGATGGATCTTCCAATCAACTGCTAAACCTTGGCAAACGCTGGATTAATGCGTGCATATGCACCTTTGGAACAACTTTGCATAGAAATGCCGTAAATGATTGTAAAAGTAAATAGTTGGTCGTTGTGGCAAACGTGACCATTATCAAGCATCTTTCGATGGTCGAGCAAAGGTATTTCTTGCAACCGGCTGAGTTGATCAGCTTCATTGCCCTGAGCTGAAGGGAAGTTCCAAAATGTTCCAAATGTGTCTGAAACATTTCGAAAACCGCTTCAGAATGTTTGCAGCCTTACATGTGTCAAAACTTAGACTGATCACTCTATGCAGCCGCATGCAGGGCACAACTCAGGCATGACTCGGGCACAACACGCCTGAAAGTCGCGGGTCTCTGAGGTTTCTCGGGTCCACTCCCCGAGGTCGAGCTCCGACCTGGCTGTCTGGCATGTGGACACAATGTGGACAAGGAAGAAATGACATGAAGACTTTGCACTTACTCAATATCACTCAGCCAAACACAAAAAGGATGATAAATATTGAAAAACCAACTCCTCTGTGATGCTCTTTGCAACATGTACTGTGCATTGCTGTGCAGTGCGTGGAACCTGGGTGGCAAAGTGAATACAAAAGAAGAGAAATGATCCAGGCGAATTATATCGAATCTGAAATGAGGTGATTTGGGGATGATTCCCCTGCTACCCACACTGCGTGGTGACATCATGATGAGGCTGTTTTGATTCAGCCAGACTGATAGTTGAAGGCTCAAAAAACAGTGGATGGACCAAATGGAGCTCAATCAGACTAAACCAGTGTCGAAATATCACAAAAGAAACGTAAAAATGATTTTGTTTTGGAATAGTTTTGGATGTAGGACTCAACCCATGCCATCTTATGAGATTGACATTGTGCGTTTCGAGTCTCTTCCCCCGACCATCCCGACGCCACCTCTCTGGTGTCTTCACTGGGTCGTCTTCACCTCGCAGTCACTTGACATGTCAGATATCATCAAATTACATCGACTTACAACCTCTGCCACAAATTGTGTTCCGATTCGATGTGTTCCGTCAGTGCGAGTATACACGTTTACACAGCAGTGCCTGTACAATTCGACTAAGTAACTGACTAGTAGTAAGACTATTGCTATCGAAACATATCGAAATGATACATTTGTTCCTTTTGTTGTCCATGGTGTTTCACATTCCTGGTTCCTCCAACATCCTGGGCCGCCACGCTCTCATCCTCAGCACACCGCGCCACCAGTGCACAAAAAAAAAACATGGCAAAAGAAAACATGACAACAATTGACAACACACTGCGAACCAAGGGCACCACAGCCTCGCCTTTGCTGGACCTTGACATGCAAAGGATTTGCAATGGCATTTGTCCAGCAGTTTTTCAATATCAAATTCACTTCATGCATTAACTACATTTCAATGCGAAGTATTACCAAGCATGACTTGGAGCAAATTGATGATATTGTTTGGACGTTCATGATTTGGCCTTCCCAAACGGTTCACTGGATAATCAACAGCTGATATGGCGGTCACGTGGAACTTCTTCCGCATCGTTTTTCTACCAGGTTTCCGGCTCTGTCTGTTTACCCTCGCTGGGGGTGGTGGAAGCCGAAGAAGATTAATTGTTTTTCGCCTAGCATCTCCAGGTGGACTGTTTGCAATGCAAACATGGGACTCAAAATTCCAAATCCCAACCGGAAACATGCAAGAAAATTCCAAACTTATCCAAGTTGAATTCAAACATGTCCCAAACAAATCAAAACATCAAAAAGGCCTTGTAGAAACGGTTGAAATCGGTTGAAATCGGTTAATTTTTCCCCAGATAGCTGGCAAGCTATAGGGGTTCTTGCTTCTCTAAGGTGGGGTCTTCGGTGGCGAACTTTTGAGCCTGCGTCTGGCAACGCTGCTGTGCAGGGTCTGGCAACGCTGCTGTGCAGGCTGCTGTGCAGGGTGCTGTCCAGACTGCGGTGGCGAAGTCTGGCAAAGGTGCTGTGCAGGCTGCTGTGCAGGGTGCTGTCCAGACTGCGGTGGTGAAGTCTGGCAAAGGTGCTGTGCAGGCTGCTGTGCAGGGTGCTGTCCAGACTGTGGTGGCGAAGTCTGGCAAAGGTGCTGTGCAGGCTGCTGTGCAGGGTCAGTCCAGACTGCGGTGGCGAAGTCTGGCAAAGGTGCTGTGCAGGCTGCTGTGCAGGGTGCTGTCCAGACTGCGGTGGCGAAGTCTGGCAAAGGTGCTGCGCAGGCTGTGCAGGGTGCTCTCAGACTGCGACGGCGAAGTCTGGCAAAGGTGCTGTGCAGGCTGCTGTGCACGGTGCTGTCCAGACTGCGGTGGCAAAGTCTGGCAACGCTGCTGTGCTGTGCAGGGTGCTGTCCAGACTGCGGTGGCGAAGTCTGGCAAAGGTGCTGTGCAAACTGCTGTGCAGGGTGCTGTCCAGACTGCGGTGGCGAAGTCTGGCAAAGGTGCTGTGCAGGCTGTGCAGGGTGCTCTCAGACTGCGGTGGCGAAGTCTGGCAAAGGTGCCGCAGGCTGCTGTGCAGGGTGCTGTCCTGATTGCGGTTGAGCAGTCTGGCAAAGTGCTGTTGAGGCTGCCGGGGCAGGGTGCTGTACAGACTGCGGTGCGAAGTCTGGCAAAGGTGCTGTTGCAGGACTGCCTTGTTTTGCACACGGTGGATGTCCCAGACTGCGTGGCCAAACGTATGGCAGACTGCGGTGGCGAAGTCTGGCAAAGGTGCTGTGCAGGGTGCTGTGCAGGGTGCTGTCCAGACTGCGGTGGCGAAGTCTGGCAAAGGTGCTGTGCGGTGTGTGGCAAAGGTGCTGGCAGGCTGCTGTGCAGGTTGCTGTCCAGAATGGGTTGGCGAAGTCTGGCAAAGGTGCTGTGGCAGGATGTGTGAGGGTGCTGGTCCAGACTGCGGTGGTTGGAGTCTGGCAAAGGTGCTGTGCAGGAATGCTGGCAGGCTGCTGTGCAGGGTGCTGTCCAGGATGCGATCACGATAGTCTGGCAAGGTGCTGTTGCAAACAGCGTGCAGGGTTGCTGTCAGACTGCGGTGGCGAAGTCTGGCAAAGGTGCTGTGCAGGCTGCTGCGCAGGGTGCTGTCCAGACTGCGGTGGCGAAGTCTGGCAAAGGTGCTGTGCAGGCTGCTGGGCAGGGTGCTGTCCAGGCTGCGGTGGCGAAGTCTGGCAAAGGTGCTGTGCAGGCTGCTGTGCAGGGTGCTGTCCAGACTGCGGTGGCGAAGTCTGGCAAAGGTGCTGTGCAGACTGCTGTGCAGGGTGCTGTCCAGACTGCGGTGGCGAAGTCTGGCAACGGTGTTGTGCAGGCTGTAGTGCAGGGTGCTGCAGGCTGCTGTGCAGGGTGCTGTCCAGACTGCGGTGGCGAAGTCTGGCAAAGGTGCTGTGCAAACTGCTGTGCAGGGTGGTGGCGAAGTCTGGCAAAGGTGCTGTGCAGGCTGCTGTGCAGGGTGCTGTCCAAGGACTGCGGTGGCGAAGTCTGGCAAAGGTGCTGTGCAGGCTGCTGTGCAGGGTGCTGTCCAGGCTGCGGTGGCAAAGTCTGCCAAAGGTGCTGTGCAGTCTGTGCAGGCTGCTGTCCAGACTGCGGTGGCGGGGTCTGGCAAAGGTGCTGTGCAGGCTGCTGTGCAGGGTGCTGTCAGACTGCGGTGGCGAAGTCTGGCAAAGGTGCTGTGCAGGGTGCTGTGCAAGGTGCTGTGCAGGGTGCTGTCCAGACTGCGGTGGCGAAGTCTGGCAAAGGTGCAGGGTGCTGTGCAGGGTGCTGGTGCTGTGCAGGGTGCTGTCCAGACCGGTGGCGAAGTCTGGCAGGTGCTGTGCAGGGTGCTCTGCAGGGTGTTGTTCTCCAGAGTCTGGCAAATGTGCTGTGCAGGGTGCTCTGAATGCTGTCCAGACTGCGGTGGCGAAGTCTGGCAAAGGTGCTGTGCAGGGTGCTGTGCAGGGTGCTGTGCAGGGTGCTGGTGCAGGGTGCTGTACAGGGTGCTGTACTAGTGCGGTGGCGAAGTCCGGCAAAGGTGCTGTGCAGAGTGTTGTTCAGACTGTAGTGGCGAAGTCTGGCAAAGGTGCTGTGCAGGGTGCCGTGCAGGGTGCTGTCCAGACTGCGGTGGCGAAGTCTGGCAAAGGTGCTGTGCAGGCTGCTGTGCAGGGTGCTGTCCAGACTGCGGTGGCGAAGTGTGGCAAAGGTGCTGTGCAGGCTGCTGTGCAGGGTGCTGTCCAGACTGGGGTGGCGAAGTCTGGCAAAGGTGCTGTTGCAGGCTGCTGTGCAGGCTGCTGTGCAGGGTGCTGTCCAGACTGCGGTGGCGAAGTCTGGCAAAGGTGCTGTGCAGGCTGCTGTGCAGGGTGCTGTCCAGACTGCGGTGGCGAAGTCTGGCAAAGGTGCTGTGCAGGCTGCTGTGCAGGCTGCTGTCCAGACTGCGGTGGCGAAGTCTGGCAAAGGTGCTGTGCAGGCTGCTGTGGAATCCTGTCAGAATGCGCGGTGGCGAAAAAGAGTCTGGCAAGGGTGCGTGCAGGCTGCGTGCAGGCTGCTGTCCAGACTGCGTGCGCGTAAGTTGGCCACTTCTGGCAAAGGTCAGGATGCTGTGCAGGCTGCTGTGCAGGCATTGCTGTGCAGAGGTGCTGTCCAGACTGCGGTGGCGAAGTATGGCAAAGGTGCTGTTGCAGGTCTTGGGTGCAGGGTGCTGTCCAGACTGGGGTGGCGAAGTCGGCAAAGTGCTGTGAAGGCTGCGGTTTGCAAGGGGGTGTTGTCCAGGGCTTGCAGTGGCGAACGTGAAGTGCCTGTGGCAA